TTATAGACAATTAACTAAGTTGAAAAAGGCCATTGGATCTGGGGAGTGAGGAGAGGGTAAACAGGCTGGAAAAGTGCTCATATCTGTATAACTGACTACACACTCACCCAACCACAGTTCTTTCTACCAGGGTGGACACCTGACCCAAGGCCAGTCAACTCATTGGTTGGCCAACAATCAATCTTATTTCTCTCTTAAATTTTTAACTGAGATACCTAGAGGCTCTATATAATTGGTGCTTTAGTGCTAAGAGATCTATGGAGTGTGACTTCAGTCCTCATCATAGCAAGAGATATTCACACACAAGTAGCTTTCTGTCAGATGAAAGAAGGAAGTATTTTCACAGAAAGATGCAGGGTTAGGGTTGCCCTATATAAAACAGTTAAATATGAATTTCAGAAAAGTAGTGAATAATTGTGTGGTGTTGTGAATAACTTTACATATCCTTCTAACCATGGTCTTTTGACTCCCCCACAAAATGACTGGATGAGACTATTCAAAAAAGGTACTTATGGCCTTCCAAGGGGATTGGACAGCCTTCTAATAATTCAAATAAGGTGTATAGAGCATTTATAGAGGTGGGACTATGCAAATAAAGCACACGGAACCCTTGTAGGGATTGGTCAGTTTTGCCATCCCTCTAGACTTAAAGGGAACCAGTCTGAGGCAGAGAGTGATCTCACTACCATCAAAATGAAGAGTCATGATCAAATGACAGCCCACAAAGACAATATTCTACATCCTACTTTGGTGAGTATGGACTGCAATCTTAAAACCTTGTAACCAGCCATCTAAGGTACAACTATTATTCTCTCCCCACTTAGAGCAAAGAAGAATGAAGAAAATCAAAGACACAAAGAAACAATTAGTCCAAACAACTAACGGACTACATGAACTCCAGCCTCCATGACCCTAAGACCAGAACTAGATGGTGCCCAGCTATCACAGCCAACTGCTCTGAAAGGGATCACAATAGGAGGTCCTGGGCAGAGTGGGAAAAAAATGTGGAATAAAACTCAAAATCATGAAAAGACGAGGATTACTGGTTTTAAAGTGACTGTCAGAACACCAGAGACTATGGCCCTTAGACACCCTTCAAGCTTGAAATCACCCCTATGGCTCAACTTTCAGCCAACCAATAGGCAGGCCTATAGGTGAACAATAACACCAGGGAGGTAGGCACGCCTTAGAACAACCAATCATAGAAGATCAAAAGAGCAGCATTTGCCCAGGGATAAAGCTCAGAAGGCAGTAAGGGATAGGAAAGAAGGTCAAATGGAAACAGTAAACACAGAGAAGAAGTGAAAAGAATGCTTTCAAATTGTGGGGATTGCAATCAATGTCACGAACCAAAATGTACATGAATTGTTGAATGGAAAACCAATTTGCTCTGTAAACTTTCACCCAAATCACAATAAAAAGTCTTAAAAAAGAAGAACAATGAGCAGAGTGAGTCCTTTGGATTCAGGATCCATGCACTGAGAACCTCCTAGACCCAGGAGACAGAGCTGTAACACTGGAGCAATAAAACACTGTAGGGAGCACTAACACTGTACATGGCAGCAGTATAAGACAGCAGAAACCAGGAGACCAGAGCAAGAAGGCTACAGAGGGCTTCCCAATCCACTGAGTGAGAAAGCTGAGAGTCTTCTAGCAGGAGGCTTTCTAGAAGAATGGGGTATGTGGTAGTTAAGTTTGTGTGTCAACTTGGCTGGGCCTAGTTGAGTGCCTGGGCAGCTGCATGTAGTATTCCCCATGATGAGACTGGTAATCAACTCCATTGTGGAATCTACTGTGAGCAGCTGAGTAGCTCCCTTAGGGATGTAGTCTGCTTCTTGTATATATGGAGAAGCCTTGGGGAATGGTCTTTAGCTTATGGCATGTTTGAACCCTGCATGTAGCTGTGTCATTGTTCAGCAGCCTGCAGTGCTTTGCCAACCTCGGGACTTTCAATGGACTTGAATTAATGGCCTTCTGTGTGGTTTGGTAACATTGGGACTGTGCCTTTTTACTTGTCAACCTTGGGCTTGTCAGCGTCAGCAGTCAGCAGCTGTCTGAATAAAGAAAAGCCTCTAGCTTCAGTGGGCCGGGAGTTGGAGGCAGAGCTGAAGCCCAAGGT